TTCCATTCTATTGAATATAATTTGAGTTAGAATTGTGATGGACGGGGCTGTATTTTACTGCATGTGGCAAAGGGAATTGGCTGTGGTAGTATCGAGGGCTAGTATAATAGGTGTTGACTGGGCACACTAACAGCGTTCTGTTTGTGACAGATGTAACAAAAGTGAATTAAGTCTAAAAAAATATTGTTGATGAGACATGAAAGATGAATCAATTCGATATTTCTCTCCCTTCGATCGCTCACCTTATGCATCTCGTGGCAGAACTCTCAAAGTTTTGGTTACTTTTTTTTTATTAACCCACGTGGAGAGGAAAATTCGGAATAGAAAATTCGCTGCTGGGATAGTTTAGACAAAGAAGCTAGGAACTACTTTTTAAACTGATCCGAGAGGGCTAACAGGTATCTTGATTATTCAGACGGATCGATGTGATAAGCAGGTTATTTGTGTGATAGGTAGAGCAAATGCTTAACATACTAATGGTGAATCAGTAATTGGGTGAATGTTATGAAGACAGATATAAAGGCTGTTTTTCGAGGGTAATGTTAAATGTGATAAGATAGTAATATAAGATCCTTTGACGGGTATGTGATGAAACAGTTACCCTACAAGAGAGAGAGAGAGAGAGAGAGAGAGAGAGAGAGAGAGAGAGAGAGAGAGAGAGAGAGAGAGAGAGAGAGAGAGAAAGAGAGAGTGAGTGAGAGAGAGAGAGAGACAGAGAGAGAGATAGAAAGAGAGAGAGAAGGAGGGAAGCGTCTGGTAAGAAAAGAAAAGAAAATATAAAGTCGACCACTAAACCCCCCACCTTCCCGCAGGCGAACTTCTCTTCATCCTATTCGGGCTGTACCTGGCCTGGCACCTGACGAAGGCGGCCAAGGACTCGGGCGAACCCAGCGAACTCTCCGAACGCCGAGCTCTCTCCGCTTCCCTGGTCCTGGAGCTCCTCGCCTCCACTGTCCTGTACACGGGGCGTCACCTGCTGTGGCTCCAAGCTCACCCTGACCACGTGTTCCTCGCCTACTTCGCCCGCACGCACCTCACCGTCACCATCTCGCTGCTGCTGATTCTGACGCCGAAGGTGAGGAGGTGGGGTGGGGGCGAGGGAGGGAGGGAGGGAGAGAAGGGGGGGGAGAGAGAGAGAGGGAGGGAGGGAGAGAAGGGGGAGGGAGAGAGGCTGAGAGGGAGTGAAGGTTGAGAGGAAGAGGGGGGAGGGAGAGGGAAAGAGAGAGGGAAGTACCCTAGTAGCACGAGCTCATTGCCTTTGAAAATGATGCCGAAGGCAGGAGAGGGCGAAGGAAAAGGGGAGGGCGTACAGTAACAATGGTATTTGGTATAGATATCACTCATCAAACAGCTCTGGAAAGTTTTAACAGATAACAATTGCAGCGCTTGTAACTGTTCGGTTGTTCCTTATTGCAAGCAATATTTTTATGTATTTACTCATCTATTGATACTCATCCACCTTGTCATTCTCATTCTTCATTTTTCTTATTCTTTCCCATTCTCATTCGTAACCCTTCCTGCTCTTCCTCATTCCCATTCGTTATCTTATCCCCCACTCCCCTTCTAGCTGTGGTGCGCCGGGGGAAGCGGCGGCCGAGATCGCCTCCCGAGGACGTACTCCTCGACGGAGGGCGGAGAGCCACGCTTCTGCGACGCCCTCACCAACGGCGACCTGGAGGCGTCGGACATCAACCTCAGCCAGATGGACCCCGAGGAGATTAGGGTGAGTGAGAGACTGAAGTGCTGGTGATTTCATGGTCGGGTGTTGGTGTTATTCGGGGTCATTATAAGGAGATAAATTAGGGTAGAGATAGAGATGGGTTAGGGTAGGGTTAGAGTAGGGTAAGGGAAAGAGAAAAATGGTTATCGAAATGTAACGGGTGTATGATAAGGATGTAAAGATTGTGAATATAACAGATAACTCAATATTTCTATATTTTTTGTGCACATACGCAACATCATACATTTATGCTAACTCAACTCAACGCCACCTATTTATACCCCAACCTAACCCTCCAAAAACGTCCTCCTTCAAGGCCGAACTGAAGCGCGTGTACACCCAGCTCGAGATCCTGCGCACTAAGACCATGAGGAAGGACAACCCACACATCTCCAAGAGGCGAGGAGGGAGGAAGGCCACCCATAGGAGGTTCTCCATGCAGGTGAGGGGGGAGGGGAGGAAGGAAGGGAGGGTAGGAGGCGGGGGAGGAATGGGGAAGGAAGGGAGGAGAAGAAGGAGGGAAAGAAAAGGGAAAAGAGAGATGGAAATTAGGGGAAGGACGGGTTTAAGGGGAAATGGAAGAGAGGGAAAAGGGGGAAGGGGAAAGGAAGGAGAGGCTGGAGGGAAGGGAATGGGGAATATACATCTGTGGACAGACAGACAAAGAGACTGATAGACAGACATAGAGAGAGAGAAAGAGAGAGAGAGAGAGAGAGAGAGAGAGAGAGAGAGAGTGAGTGAGTCAGAGTCAGAGTCAGAGTCAGAGTCAGAGTCAGAGTCAGAGTCAGAGTCAGAGTCAGAGTCAGAGACAGAGACAGAGACAGAGACAGAGACAGACACACAGAAACACCTAGACGGACAGACAAACAGAAAGATAAAATACCTGTCAGTTAAATACCTGATGGATAGATCATTCCTGTCAGTTTATTCCAGATGTACAAAGTATAAAAGTTAGAAAAATCTAATTTGCAATTATTTTGTACAAATACCAGACACAAATATATAGTTCAGGTACACAATTATTTCCTGTCAGCTAGTGGCTAAATACATTTTTTATCCATATAGACAGAACTATGAGCCAGTACATGTATTCCTCATGACTGCACACGCAAGCGGCATTGATTAATTTATCAGTTATTTCCTTGATGCACATATGTGATTAATTTATGTAACTGACAGTCCATTATACTCTAAATATATGAGTTTAAAGGAATATTGTTGAATTATATCCATTGGACTTTTATAACAAAACAAATTATCGGCTATTATCTAGGACCAAGTGTTGTGGGAAATCAGTTGCATAGCTGTATTATATTTTACATTGGTAGGCTGTTTTTATCTGATTTTTTTTTTACTATAAAAATAATGTGGTACATTATTTTTTTCTGCAAAACATCCAGTTAGACCATAAACAAATTTAGGATTAACAAGAAATGATACATCCCTATGAAAAGAGATATTAGGTAAATTGTTTACTATCTATATATTTACACATCAAGAAAGTTCTTACCATATTTACAGCCACATTTTTATTCTGGTACAGCCAACAATGATCTCCTCCCTAAATGGCTGTAAATCTTTGGCTGCAAACATGAACAGAAAACCAAGCTGCTGACTCTCATTATAAAAACACTGTAATGGTTTATGTATAATAACTGGTTAGTGAAAGTATACACTCCTTTGCAATGCAGTCTTACTAAGAAGTATATAATAGAAAGAACAAAAAAAGTTTACAACACTTTGTTCTTATATGATGTAATACAGTGTAATACTAATACATGATACACTGTTGGTTTAAATTTTGTAACATCACTGTAAATTAAAGACAATGTTGCTGTTACACTATTTCTTTCTTTCTTTCCTTTCAAAATAAAATGAAATAATAATTGTAGAGATAATGATTTTACAAATGATAACATGCCTTCCCTGCCAGTGTAGATGTATGGATCTTCTTCATGTTAATTTCCTTAACACTACTTTAGGTAAAGGCCACAATAAGTCAGATATCAAATGAATGTAATTTATGTAACTAATGCATATGTTTATATATATATATATATATATATATATATATATATATATATATATATATATATATATATATATTAGACTGTTAGTTGGAGACTTTCTATGTATAGTTCTTTTAACTATTATGCATTTATTTAGTAAGTATAATTAACTGATTAGAATTTACAGGGTTATATATTTTCTGACCTAAATATAATTAGTAAATACATTTTATTGTAGGACTCTATAATGTTGTTATAAGTAATGTAAATGTTTAATACATATAATAAATGTATTTGAATAGAACATATATTTGCTTTAATGTTTATGTTTTATGATATCTTAATCAATTTAAGTTCTGTGCAACCCACATGTTGAATTTCCATGATTCTGTGCCACTTTCGTTATTTTGCCCTTTATATGTAACAAAATAAGCTAGTCTTGAAATGCGCGTTTAATAATATATCAGATATAAGAAGAAAAAAAAGGGAAAGGAAGATGAGATTATTATGTTAACAGCTTTAATACACAAAGAAAAATTCTTAGTTGAAATTTCTTGTTATTGATGTGATGCAATTATGATTTTTGATTTCTTGTTGCACTGTGCAATGTATGATATCACAAATGTTTATGCAAATTCATAATCATGGAAATTCACAGACCTTCAGAGTAGTTTTTAAGCTAAGTAGTTTTATGTCAAAGACCCTGCTTTAATCATAAAGAGATGAAAATAATGATCAAATAGAAGTTGATAATTTTAATGTACATAAGGCTTTTTTACATATTTTTGTTTAGTTGCGACTGACCTCAATTTTTGATTTACCTTCCAGAGTCGCAAAGGAAGCCGAGAAAAGGTAAAAAACAAAACAAAACAAAGGGAGAACTGTATTTTAAACATTTTTATAGGAATAAATTAGATAGAAGATATTGCTGTTATTTATAGTCCTATAATGCCCTTATTGAAAATAATGCTTATGATCAGAAATATAAATCAATATCTTTAAAACAAATGATAAGCGAATGACATTACTGTGATGCAACATATCACCAAAACTCAGTGTGACTTGTTGCAAATACCCACATATTTTGAAAATGATTGATCCCTTGCAATTCAAAAGCTTTACATCCTTTTTTGAGCCACGAGAAAAGATCAAACAAACAAATAAACAAAAACATATATAATGACGGATCCTCCTTCTCCTTCCAGTCTCTCCACCGCCACCACCCCCGCCCCCTCCCCCACACCTTGGAGGGAGGAGAGGGGGAGGTGAGCAAGACCCCCGAGGAATCCGTGTGCTCTATCGAGGGGCCTTCAGTCCTCTCCGTCTACGCTGATGGGCCTTCAGAGGTAGGGACGCCGTCGATCCTCCACCGATCCTACAAGTTATGAAAGGACAAGGCCAAAGGAGGACGGAATCAAGGCTCTATCTAAGGTTTCAAAATAGAAAAGAAGATGAAGAGAGAGAGAGAGAGAAAAAAAGAAAAAGATTTAAGAGGTGTAGTCCTCTAGTTTATTTATTTATGTTTATTTTTTTCCCTATGAAAGATTCATTAGATTAGTGATTGTTGGGAGCAAGGTTAGTCAAGTGTAAATCATTCGAGTTCTTTAATCCTTTTAAAGATTAGATACTATGAATATATATACAATATTAGTCCACAGTTTTTGCTACTCTAGAGTATAGTGTGTACAAAGCAGGGAGGAGATAATGGCAACTAGCATTGTGCAGGATTTTGTGTATATACTTTTTAAGGTAATAGATTGTAGAGTTTTTGGGATGTAATGAAAACTGCACTGAAAGCCTCTAGTGACCAGAACTGTAAAGGTGGAACTTCATGTCATTGATTTTGTTGCGAGGATGTGCAAAATGAAAAGGGTTCATTTTTATCATTTGATATATAAATACATATACATCCATCCATACATACATACATATATATATATATATATATATATATATATATATATATATATATATATATATATATATATATATATATATATATATACACATACACATACACATACACATACATACACATATACATATACATACGCATATACATATATCTACATAATTATACATACATATACACATATATACATACATATGCATACATACATTCATATATATATGCATATGTATGTATATGTATATATTTATGTATGTATATATATATCCATACACATTTATATATACACACACGTATATAATATATATATATATATATATATATATATATATATATATATATATATATATATATATATATATATATATATACATATATATATATATACATATATATATATATATATATATACATATATATATATACATATATATATACATATATTTATATATATATAAATATATATATATATATATATATATATATATATATATATATATATATATATATATATATATATATATATATATACATATATATATATAAATATATATATATATATATATATATATATATATATATATATATATATATATATATATATACATATATATATACATATATATATAAATATATATATATATATATATATATATATATATATATATATATATATATATATATATATATATATATATATTTATATTTATATTTATACACACACACACACACACACACACACACACACACACACACACACACACACACACACACACACACACACACACACACACACACACACACACACACACACACACACATATATATGTATATATATACATATATATATATATATATATATATATATATATATATATATATATATATATATATGTATATATATATATATATATATATATATATATATATATATGTATATATATATATATATATATATATATATATATATATATATATATATATATATACACTTCCATCTCTTGTAATTAAGTAATTTATTCACAGTTTAACTGTAACAAATCTATTGATTTGTATTTCTAGGTCTTAACTAATCACTTCTTGTAAAAAAAAAAAAAATTCTTTCAATTTATATGATATCTAATGGTATTATGGAAATCTGCAATAGAATCTTTTTTGTAAAATATAGACCACAAAATTATACATTTTTTTTATTCAGCCACTTCATATCTTATTTTTTTATATGATTAATGTATGTGTGTGTGTGTGTGCGTGTGTATATACATACATATATATATGTGTATATATATATATATATATATATATATATATATATATATATATATATATATATATATATATACATATATATATATATATATATATATATATATATATATATATATATATATATATATATATATATATATATATATACACACACAAACACACACATATTTATGCATACATATATACAAACATTTATATATATATATATATATATATATATATATATATATATATATATATATATATATATATATATATATATATATATATATATGTATACATTTCTGTGCATATAAATCATGATTCACCTGCACATGCACATACACATGATAAAGAATGATGTATATTGCTAAACCTGTATATTTGCAATGTATTTAGGTTTATTTATTTCATGAGGGAATTACACAACGCTTTTTGAGATAAATAGCAACGAAATTTTACACAATTATTCTGAATTTTCTTGTGAATAGGCAATCTATGCTCACACATATATTTGCATTCGCACACACACACACACACACACACACACACACACACACACACACACACACACACACACACACACACACACACACACACACACATACATTCTTGTATATGAATATTAACCAATTTGATTTTCATGGAACTTGTATCAATTTTTTTGCTCCAGTCAGGATTACACTGAGCAATGGTAGAAAAAACGAAAAAGAAAAAAATATTTTAAATGAAGTACATTTCACCGACAATCCATATTCCAAACATAAGATCTGTAATTTTATCATGTTTATTTATTTTTCTTTCTGGTGTACACTTTGGTAACATCTTTACTGATAATATTTACTTAAATACCTTATTTAGAAATATTGCAGAAACTAATTCTTGTGTAGTTTAACCTGAATTAGAATAGGTAGAAAGGAGGGTATTTCCGAGAAGATAAAACTGAAAAGTGGACAGAGTTAGACATACCAAAAAATTATAATTGATAAGTAGATTTTTTTTTTTTTTTTTTTTTGGGGGGGGAGGGAGCAGAAAAACAAATAAATCAAATACGAAAACTTTTTAGAATGTAATAGGTCTATCTAGGCATGAGACTTTATAATACATATACAAATTTCTTCCCCAGATCTTGTGAATAACTTTAATATTCTCCATTTCAAATATTTTCCAGATAATAATTCATTTGTATCTTCAAACAATTATATATTTGGCTACTTGTATGCTTAGAAAAAATGTACAGAATAGACACATGTAGAAGAAATACACAAAAAGGATAACCAGAATAGGATAATCAGTGTTAGATTCTTCAAAAACACTTGACAGCAAGTTCGAATTCCTGTAAAATATACATCTTTCCAATTTTCAAAGTTTGATTCAACATTTTGTAATCTTTTTTATAAATGATCAACTATGAAAAACTATCCATATTAGTTTAAAAGACAATGTAGACCAAAAAGACAACCACGTAGAGAAAAAAAAAGAAAAAAAATCTTTATATCTCATTTATATATATAATGTATATACATAAATGTACCATAAGCGCTACAATATATTCTGACCAACAATTCACAATAGAATTTGTATATATACAGTATATATGTATGTCAAGTACAGCTTTAGTAAATAAAAGATGTTCCTTTGCTAAATGTAATTGTTGCTTATTAAAAAAAAAAAAAGAATTTTGAAGTAGAATTATGATCCAATGAATAGAAGCAATCCTAACATGAAATGAATAACATATATTTTTTTTTTAAAGAATGAATTATATCATACTATATTAAAAAAAATCAAAAAAAAATCAAGCACTTGTACAAGCTATGTGGATCATAATCCTGCTTGTTTTTTTTCATTCATTGTTGTAAATATTTTAATTGATAGTTATCTGAATTAAAACGTTCTTCTATATTGTATTTGTTATCATTACACTGTTATTATTACTATTGTTATTATTATTATTACCACTATTATTATTACTACTACTATTATTATAACTACTACTATTATTATAACTACTACTATTATTATAACTACTACAATTATTATTACTACTACTATTATTATTACTACTACTATTATTATTATTGCTACTACTATTATTTTCATTATTAATCTTATTATTACTTTTATTATTATGATGATGATTATTAGTATCATCACTGTTATTATCATTGCTGTTAGTATTATTAATGTTATCATTATTTTTTATTATCATTGTTATAGCTTTTATTATAATTTTTGTTTTTAATATTAATATATTACTGTATTCTTTTTACCACAGTTATATATGCTGCATTTTCCTTTATAAATGAAAAAGATTCATTTACTGCAAATGGGAACATATTCCTTATCAGATAGGTATTAGATAAGTAAAAATTATTATAGAGATCTTGTATTTGTTTCTTCTCTCTCTTTATAAAGTCAGTTTTGTTCTAATAAACTCTTATTGACATTTATTCCATCCAACAAATACTGCCTCAATTCATTTTTCTTCAACAAACCACAATCATTATTTTCAAGGAGTAATATTTTGCCAACAATATAAACTGTATACTTATTTTAATCTTATTTTTGTCGTTTCATTTATTTATTTATCTATTTTTGTAAATAAAACATTTGTCTGCATGTGTTTTTCTTTTTTTCTTTCAATTTCCTTGTTTATACTTCGTACTTTATCCTTGTATCTCTTGCTTTATAGAATTGTTACTTGTGTTCAGTCTGTAAAGTTGCATATAAATGAATAATAAAAAAAAAAAAAATATATATATATGTATATATATTTAAATATATTTATATATTGATATATATATATATATATATATATATATATATATATATATATATATATATATATATATATATATATATTTATATATATCTATATATATATTTATGTATATTTATATTTATATTCTTATCTATATTTATATATGTTTATATATATATATATATATATATATATATATATATATATATATATATATATATATATATATATATATGTATGTATATATATATATATATATATATATATATATATATATATATATAAATATATATATATATATATATATATATATATATATATATATATATATATATATATATATATATATATATATATACACATATTTGTATATATATGTATATATACACATTTGTATATATATATATATATATATATATATATATATATATATATATATATATATGTATATATATATACACACATATATATGTATATATATAATATATATAGTATATAAATATTATACTCACACACACACACACACACACACACACACACACACACACACACACACACACACACACACACACACACACACACACACACACACACACACACACATGCATGTATATATATTATGAATATGTATATATATACATATACATAATACACACACACACACACACACACACACACACACACACACACACACACACACACACACACACACACACACACACACACACACACACACACACATACACATACACATACACATACACATACACATACACATACACACACACACACATACACATACACACACACATTATATATATATATATATATATATATATATATATATATATATATATATATATATTGTGTGTGTGTGTGTGTGTGTGTGTGTGTGTGTGTGTGTGTGTGTGTGTGTGTGTGTGTGTGTGTGTGTGTATATATGTATATATATATATATATATACATATATAT